AGGAATCAGAGCCCTGAATGCTTTTGGCATGAAAATACTTTTATATGTTAAGTAAAAATTGAGAAAGCAGTCCTGGAATAGGAGGTGGATGGGCTGCCAGTGAACTCTGTTTAAGGAGCAGTGGGAAAATCTAAGTCATCCCTGCCCTCTGATGTTACTTCACCAGATGGGCCCAAAGGCAGAAAATGTTTCCAGATCCACTTTGGTTCAGAACAATATTGAACCATGTTTCCAAGCTCTTATTTGTGCTGTGCCTTTATGTATTATTTTCTTCCCATTGATTTTTATATGTTTTCTAATTGGTCAGAAGCATTCATCACCATTGGAAACCTGTGACTATTTTTCCTGTCACAAATGCGACTTGTTTAGAAATTATTTTGCACTGTTATGTTTGGGGGGGGGACATCCACTGTGATGGTCTCCTGCTCTAGGTTTAGCCTTGATGTCACAGTAGAAAGTTGAAGAGCAGCTGAAACAATGTTATTAAAGTGCCATCTGCTGCCCTACTACTTGCTTGATAGATTCCAGGAAATGGAAATGTCTCCGTTGTCACTGTATGAAGGTACATTCCTTTTTTAAATGTCAATGATATTAAAAAAAAAAAAAACACTATGCAGTGTTCACACATTTTAACTGAGGAAACATCCTAATTAATTTTTGCCTGTATTTTCTAGCCATCATATCATAAGGGATTCACCACTGTTTTATCACACAGCGGCTGATATAGAATTGGTATTCAATCAATGTGAATTGACCATTGAATAAATTCATACGCTACTTTAGGCAAAAAGCAATCTCATTCTTCAATGTGAACAAATGTTTTTCCTATAATAATTAAAGTAGTAGTGGATTAAAAGACTCCCAAGGAAAGTTTACCTACATTCCAGGCCTGAAGCCTCCTGTCTAACTCTTTCTAGTTAGAGAGAACCAGGCAAGAAGTGTTAGGAACTCACAAAGCTGAGGACAGTTCTGTCTAAAAAATTTCCGCTCATACCCTGAGATGTAGAGAGACAGGAGCAGCCTTCCTATTTGTTAGCGTACCTGTTTGGTCTTACCTACAAGAAATTCACATGCCAAAAATTATTACTTTGGGTGTGAAAGTAGACTAAGAATACGCCTTCACACATTCAAGCCAAGATTATACTTAAAGTGCTTCCTGATGGTAATCTTTAATTCTAAAAGTGGGGCAGTCTGCAGCTCACCTTCTAAATCTAACATTACAATCACCTTGGGTTATTTTTATAGTCAACTGATGAAAAGATATAATAGGATGAGGTACGTAAATGTAATCCACTTTTGAAAAGCAATTTGTGTCATCGTGTTGTGCTCAAGGAGAGTGTGCACAAACAAGGCAAGCTACTATTTCTGTGAAAGTTCTGGTGTTCTAGAGAGAAGACCTGACAACAAATATGCTTCAAAAATAAGTTCCTAATATTTTGCCAAGCTTTGTAAAACTTTAGTGGGTCAAAAAGAGGACAGAATAGGCTTAAATGCTGTAAATACTTATGTGAGTAGGAGTCAGTATTTTTTAGAGAAAGTGCTAGTGGTAAAGGAGTTAGTGCCACCTTAAAGCAAGAGGGCAAGTACAGTTTAATTACTGGATGTTTTGTTGTTGTTGAGCAGAAGCATAAAAATGTTACAAAATTCATTTTTGAGAAGTTCTTCATGCAATTTTCCATAGCATAAATAGTATTCAATGCTTCCTAAAAGTAAATCTGGGCACGTTTTTAAACCTCAGTGTTCTACAAGCTTTTTAACAGTCTTGCCATTACTAGTACATTAACTGTGTACATACATTTATCTGTTTTCTTGTTTTCACTTATAATTTCTATGCATTGCTATTGGTGAAACAGTTTTTAGTGTATGTGCTGCTGAAGCAAGCACCGGTAAACCATTATGCAGGACATCACATGCAAAATTAAATTTCTGCTGTATTAACCAATAATATAATTTTAGGTTTGGGAGACCGCCTTAACTCTGCTTGAGCTATGTGTGTAAGTGTGTACCTCTTGTTTCCCCAATATTTAAATTTAATGAAGCTATGAAGTTCTATAGCTTTATCCTCTCCTTCTGTGAGAAAAGGTTAGGGATGTGTTACCGTGAATGGGCTTTTCGCTCTCCCTGAGCTTTGTCTTCCGGTTCTTTGGCGAAAGGCTTGCTCAGGTATTGGAAGAAGGAAAAGAAATAGTGGACCTATTTGCGCACGTAAATATAATCCGCACTCTTGGCGGCTTATGCTTTTGGTTAGCTCTTTGGTACCTTGTACTTGGGGTGTGGGGTCACTTCCCAAGTGCAGTATATTTTAAATTGAACACGAGACTTAGGAATGTGAAATGTAAGAGAAGAGCTTAAAAAAGGGAAACGGTCTCTCCTTTAGGTAACAGTGTCATTCAATATGAGGAGTGATCCAAACATAGGTGAATGTTTAAATTTTTAAGAATTTATGACACATTGCCAATAAGCCTCCTGAAAATACTCCCCATTGTTTCAAATACACTTATGTCATCATTTTGTCATTGTTTGAAGTAATTCTGGAAGACTTCTGTTGGAATATCTTTATTTGCACTGTCATGGCCACCTTGATCCCTAAATCCATCCAAAACATTTATTGTTTTTGTTTTGTTTGTTTTATATATTTTTGAGACAGGGTGTCACTGTACGGTTTGGGCTGGCCTTGTGCTCACTTTCGTAGCCCCCAGACTGGTCTTCAATTTGCAGAGATCCTCCTGGCTCAACCTCCCGAGTGCTGGGATTATAGGTGTGCGACACCACACCCAGTTCAGAGGTCACACAGTGGGCACCTGCATCCAAGGCCGAGTCCGCATGGCATGTGGGCCTGGGGATCAAACTCAGGTTCTTGTGCATGCCAGGTAGGTGCTTATACCTCAAAGCCATCTCTCCAGCCACCAAAGAAATTATTTTTCATGGTCCTTTTGACCTTGAGGAAGATGCAAAAGTCATATGGTGCCAGTTCCAGTCAGTAAGGAGGATGAAGGTATACTGTGATATTTCTAATTTTTTTTGTGGAACCGGGGGTTGGACTCAGGCCCTTGTGCTTGCCAGGCAAGTGCTTATTCTACTGAGCCATCTCCCCAGCCCTGATATTTCTATTTGATTGAAATTGATTAATTGATTAATGGATGAGATCATTTTTTGTAAATGTTTAAATTTAAAAAAATTTTTAGAGTAAAATATACATTGTCACTAATCCCTCTCAAATCACTCCACCTTGCTTCAAGCACATTTATCCCATCTTTTTGGGCAATATATCTTTTTCGGGTTTTTTTGGTCAGGTCAGCCCACCCTGAGGGCAGGGCTGGCTTGGCATGTGGTGCCAAGGATTGAACCACGGTGCATGGTGCCTGCCTAAGCTTACCAAAGCAGGTACTTTAGACCAATGAGCTATTTCACCAGCCTCAGGCAATATATCTTTTGCTGTAATGTTTCTTTATAATTTAAGCATTCACTATATTATTGTGAACTCATGTCATTGCTGAGAAAGAAATTTTGGTCCATTTAAATATCTAGATTAGCATTTAACCATCCAAAAATTTATTCATATGACTAAGCGAGAATTCTTGACAGTATGCATTTCCCAAAGTAAGTCAAAAGACTCATTCCTCTCGTATATCATTTCCAGAGTTATATTTTGAAGTATTTAACCTCAGTACAAGAACACGAGTTTGAGAACATATTTTAGAGAATGACATTGGAACTCTCCAATAAGTTTTGGAGATATTGTATCTCAAAATATAATTCCTTGTAATAGAAACTTAAAGTTCTAATCATCTGGCTCTGGGTAGTGGATAAGTTTCCAGGCATCGAGGTAATATAAATACCTCCATGTATTTGTTTTTCTCCTTTATTTTAAAAATGCAAATATTGACTGTGATGAATACGTGTTCTCAATATTTTTGGAATACGTGGATGGCTTGTGTAGTACTAGCATGTATAGGGTAAAATTCCAAGAAAATGACTATAATGTCTAAGGCAATTTTATGCTAGGGGATATCCTTCAGACTTCTACCCCACCTATTTTTCATCTTTAAACAATTTTCTTTGCTACTCCAGACTCTGATATCTTCATGCAATTCATTTTTGGATGACGCTATGTTGAGAAATCATTATCTTCTAAAATAGCAGACAAAAACTCATACGTACAGTTTCCACTGGGGCAGGGGACTAATTCCCTTCTGCTGCATTGTACACATAGAAGTATTATTTAGGAGATTTCATGAATCCCCCTTTATTGGCAAATCAGTAGAGCGTACTGGCTAAGGAACCAGATTACTTTGGCACTGTTGCTTGTAGCTGTGCAAACTTGTTAGATTATTTCATCTTTCTATGCCTGAATTTCTTCCTCTATAAAATAGGACTATTTTACTTTGCATTTGTAGGATGCAATTACTGCACTAGGATTATTGTGAGGAATGTGATAATACACATAAAGGACTTAAAACAGAACTCTGGGTAAATACTAGTTAGTACTATGCTTATTCATAGCTATCATCATATAAGTCTTGCTGAAAAATCCCAAGCATGACTTCATAGTAGAAAAATTTCTATGCATATATAAGCCATTCTCTCAGCATGTGTATCAGCATATTTTAAAAAAGGATCAGTCGCATTAACTAGAAGATGATTTCAAAGCCTTCACTAACAATGCAGTTTTTATTTACTGGGTTCACTCTTATGTCTCTTTATGAAGAATTTTCAGTACTAGAAGTGCTTTAGTTGTGAAAGCACTTTCAGCTATGAATGTACAGTTAACCTGAGTTTTACACATTCCAAGCAACTTTGCTTTTGAGAGTGACACTGTTCTCTCAAATTGTTAGGCTAAGAACAGCACCTCAGGTTCTACTTAATCTGAAGGTGAATACTTGGTTTCCTTTGCATTCTGGGGGATAGGTTTGCTTTGGGAGGAGCTGCCGTTCAGGCGTCGAGCCTTGCCGATGTAGAGGACACCTTGTTCATCATTTCTCCATTGATGTGCTTTGCAGCTTGCAGTTCCCCACAACGATGAATGGACACGATTTGCCAGGACCCTGGTGGAGATTCGAGCCAACAGAGCTGACAGCGAGGAGGAGGGCGCAGTGGAGTTATCTGCATAGAGGAAACACACTCCTCCCCCCCACACACACACACACCACCACAGCCCTGCCTTTGTGTGCTAGAGCTCCACATCCTGTTTTTGGTGTCCATTCAGTATCAGTGTTGCCGTGACTTTTTGGGTGCCACCTTGTGCCAGCTTTCCTTCAAGTATTCCAATGTATCCATTGATCTGAAATTCACCAGATAGCATTTCTATCTATTTCTGTTTCAAGAATGAAGGGGGGTGGGTGGGAAACAGCTACAGGTTTATTTGTTGCCTTTTAACTATTTAGTAGCTGTATGTATTTAGCTGAAAACCTCTGGTTAACTTTGCACTTACGTGCGCTTCTGGCATAGTCCTATTAAATCCATATGAAGCCAGATATGATTGGGTGCAGATGTGGTATGCCTCATGATATGGTACAGGGCCAAAGACTTGAGATGTGGTGTTTTCCATGGCGACTCACATTATGAATGGATTTACTAGAAGAACATTGCTGCTCCTTATTTATTGTAGTGTGCTGCATGGAACATATTTATTTGAAAGCATTAAAATAAACGATCCTGGAGCATGTGCATAATGAGAGGACTGTACTCTCTCTGCTGCCGTCGAGGTTACATTAAGTTCTAAATAACAATTATAGTATGCCAGTTCCACTGAGAACATGAAGTCTTTAGAGGTTTGCTGCAGTGAACAGAATGCCCATTATTTCTAGGTACTTTAACAATATTTCAAATATAGTTGACCATTGATACTTGTCATTCAAGCTAACATAGTCCAACAAAAGTCTGTGGTTTCTAAATATTATACCAGCATTGCCAATAAAATGTTCCAAACCAGGTCTGTACCGGTGTGGGTAAATACTTTGCTTGGGGAAAGCCTTCCGATCAAATTCTGCTTTGATAAAGGGTGGGAGAAATACACCAGGACTGTGTTAGGGACGGAGCATGAATTTATCGGCAGTCAGCCTGGTTGTACTTAAACCAAGGCTCCAAGTTTTATTTTCATGAGGAAATGTGTGTGGTTTCAGAAGGGGAGGCCCCACCCTTGCCTCAGTGACCAAAGTCATCCTTGTCCAAAGACAGTTTCAAATAGCGGAACAAAAAAGACGGGTTAAGATGAAGAAATATCAAATATTCTACACATCTCTTTTTCTAAAGTTGACACTAGAAGATGATTATTACTAGTAAGCTAGGAAATGTGTCTATAAACTACTTCAGTATTTTTTTTTCAAAAGATCATTCCATGCCTAAGGATAATGAAAATAAACGGTGGTTGAGTTATGGAAAACATTTGAAGACAAGCTCTCAGCTTTTTAGGAAGAAACCCTCCTTTGGTGCCTTATTGGTAGAAGTTCCTTGAACTAAGTTTTAATTTTTAAATAGTGTTATACTTTTACCCAAGTATCCTATATAATCTAAATTTTAAAATTTATTAAAACTTCACAGGGTCAGCGAGAGAGCTCAGGGGTCTAAAGCTCCTGCTTAGGCAAGCTTAGAAAAGAGCAGGGACAGTGGTTGGATCCCCAGCACCACGTGGCACACCAGCCCCACCCCCCGGGCGGGGCTGAGCTGGCCACCAAAAAAACAACAACAACAACAACAAAAAAAAAAAAAACAAGCAAACAAAAATTTACAAATAAAAAAATGAGTGTCTGAAATAGGTTTAAAGGCAACCTAAAGAAAGGTACTGAGGAAAAATGTCTTCTTGAACATACCCGAAACTGCCTAAGAATAAATCAAAAGTTCCTTGAACTAAGTTTTAATTTTTAAATGGTGTTATACTTTTACCCGAGTATCCTATATAATCTAAATTTTAAAATTTATAAAAACTTTACAGGGCCAGCGAGAGAGCTCAGTGGTCTAAAGCTCCTGCTTTAGAGTTACTATGGTGGGGTAGTTCTGCATGATTCACCATGTGAATCCTGTGAAAAGCACAGCAATCAGAGTCCCTTGTGGGAGGCACATGAAATGTCCCACCTTCTTGTTGCTTATACATCATCAACCCCACTGTGGAGCTGTTCTCCACAGCCCCCACTCTGATTCCATGCTGAGTCTGCGCTGACCTCGTGCATCTGAGAGAATGTAGTTTCTGTGATGTCTTTGCTACTTTGCACTGTTAGAACCAAATACTGTACTGTGGATGGAGGGGCATAAACAACAGAAATTTTTTTCTCACTGTTCTGGAAACTGGGGGAGTCCAGGATGAAGGCCCCAGAGTATTTAGAATCAGATACATCCCCTCTCCCTCTTCCTGGTTTTCACTGCAGGTGTGGCTGTGTCCTCATTGTACCCTTCTCATTGTAGGTGGGGGTGAGGATGCCAAGGAGACTCATATCTTTTCTTATCAGGGCACTAACTTCATTTATAAGAGCTCCACCCCTGTGACCTAATTACCTTCCAAAGGCCTCCCCTCCATAAACTACTGTGGATTTAGGTTCCAGTCAATGAATGGATACGGGGAGCATAAACAGTCTACAGGTTGGAAGGTTGGAAGAAGGTTACGAGCTCCTTCTAGCTCGCTTGACATACACTTTTGGTTCCGAAGCCAGCCCACAGCCATTGGAGTGATCCCAACGGATGGTTCACATAAAATGTGGTGGTCATGAAAATGTGCTCTCAGATCTACTGTTGCAAAGTGACAGCTCTCGATGGTGTGCCCTGAAATCTATCACCATTAATTTCATGGCTGAGACCAGGCTTTCCACAGGCTGCTCCCAGCCAAGGTTGAATATGACAGAGAAACTAAGGCAAGCCTGTACTGTGATTTCTCTGGCATCTCTTGGGCTCAGGGACTCTTTGTCAGCATTGCTAAAACATGTAGAATTCTACTGCAATCTAAGACCAAGCCTGCCTTTTTTCCTTCCTTCCTTCCTTCCTTCCTTCCTTCCTTCCTTCCTTCCTTCCTTCCTTCCTTCCGTTCTCTCTCCCTCTACCTTTCCTTCTTCTTCTCTCCCACATTTCCCTTTCTCCTTCTTAGGCTCTGACCAATATCACTGTCTGATGGCTTCCCCAGCATCATCTGGCTTGAGATGCACTAGGCCTGAGAAGCAGATAAAGAGACTGTACCAAGAGAGTTGCCAGAACAAATCTGTGTACTGTTAGGAGGTGGAGGAGCAGCAGCAGGATTGAGTTTTGAAGTATTTGCCCAAGATAGCAGAATGTAGATTAGATAATCAAGAATTGATTGACTTTAGCTCAGTTTTGGAAGACCTGAAGGAAAAATGGCCAAGCTTTCCTGGTTGATAGAATAGGAATACAGAGGTTGAGGGAAGTAGGCCTGTGAAAATGAGTACAGAATGTAGGGTTAGAAGACCTACTCAAGGCCTAGGTTGTGTGACATACTCAATATACACCCTTCACCAAAGCCATTAGCAATGAGCTGTTGACAGGGTCATGAGCATCTCTGGACAGTCTAGTTGTCACTTTCCCCTGCAGGCCAAGATTGGTAGGAGGAGAAGCAGTCACAGAGCAAGGCTTATTAGTATCCATGGGGACAATGCAAACCTGCAGGAACAGTGCCTATGTGCTGGCAGTTAAACCTGTGAAGTCGGGAAGCCACAGTCACTGTCACACCCAGCTAGATCAGAGTCAGAGTCAGGGAGGTTCTCCCACAGGAAGTTACAGGATAATTAATAGACGATGGCATACCCAGGAGTAAAACAGGCCTCCAAAATGATGACACTTAACACCCATGACCTAAAAACAGTCAAAATTGAAGGAGCACAAGGCTAAAAGCAGTTATCTCAATAAAAATTAATGATTCTCTGCTTATTACCCAAGTCTGCCAATTTTTAGTCCAGATATCCTTGAATGAAGAAGTCTTTTGTTGCTAGGAGAAAGGACACTTACAAATATATAGTTAAAACTGGCATTGTGGTACATGCCTGTAATCCCAGCATCTGAGGAAGGAAGGAGCACTACATGTTCAAAGCTGGTCTAGACTACATAGTGAGACCCTGTCTCTCTCAATCTCTCTCTGTCTGTGTCTGTCTGTCTGTCTGTCTCTCTGTCTCTGTCTCTGTCTCTCTCTCTGTCTCTCTCTGTCTCTCTCTCTCTCTCTCTCTGTCTCTCTCTCTCTCTCTCTCTCTCACACACACACACACACACATATACACACACACACTATCTATCTATGTTTATGGTTAAATATGGGAAAGATGTTCAGGTGTGGTTCCTATAATATATCCACTTAATATATATTCATTTAACACATCAATAATCCTGAGTTCTTCAAAAGAATTTCTATGACCATCTATTCTGGATGACAATACAGAAGGAGAAAAATTCAGACACTTGAAAATTAAAACGACCTGAGTTCTCATTAAAACTCTTGGAGTGGTGTCTTACAGTGCCTGGATAATAAAATGGAAACTTTCCTAAGATCTTGGTCACAGTGGCACCTTTGGGCCTGTAGATGCCCACAGCAGTCATTTCCCAGTTCTCAAGGGCTCCGTTAGAATGGATGAAACTGTGCTGGATCCCTGTGCTCTTTGGTAAGAGCTTCACCAAAGGAAGCCCTATGAAGCTCTCTGAAACTGCTGTACTCCCTTCTCCTCCAGCTAAGACAGGAAGTGAGAATGATTACATCTCAGGGTATGGGTAAGAGGATGGCAGGGATAAATAACTCTCCTAGAAGCCCTGAAAGATGTCAGGTTGTGGTCCCTATAATATATCCCCTTAGCACATCAATCTGGCCCTTTATAACTTGGTGGATCTTGGAGGGAAATGAATGGGTTCTGCAAGCAAGTGAGAACTTTGTACAGATGTGCTGTCACTTCTAGACTACCTTAATAATTATCCAGGAGATTTACATAGTATGCACCCATTGACTGGTGCGTGTGTTCTTTTCCTTGCAATTGTACAAGGCCAGAACCAGTTTGCATGCACATGAGAATAACAATACACACCTGCAGTTTTGCCTCAAGGCTGTGCTAATCTCTCCTTCCCTATGTTACTCCAAAGAGGTCTAGACCACCTACACATCCACAGTCTACCACACTGACCCACCATGCCAGTGGTTCCACATTTACTAGGCAGGACAAATGAGAGTTAATAATGCACCACAGAGACTGAGATAAATTTAAGAAATCCTCAGGGACTTACTACATTAGTGAAGTTACTTGGAAACCTCCACCCTTACCCTACTGCCACCAAAGGATTAGGAACATGCTGATTGATATATCCCCTGTGAAACCAAAGACCAACTGCTTAAGTTTAGAACTTACAGTACATAGTAGAAAGCAAACAAGTAGGTCTTTTGGGGTTATGAATTCAACACCTTCCATATCTAAGAATGGTGCTCTACTTCGTTAAGCAGGATGCAGAGTGTTGGGTGGACTTCAGGGTTGAGAAAGCATTTCACAGCAGGTCCTCGCAAGGAGCTGTATTGCTTGATGAATACAACCAGGAAATGTGATGGTACTAGAAGTGTCAAGGATGAAAAAAATACATTGTGTGGAATTTGTGCAAATCTCTGGAGAGAAATCACGATGATATCCCATCAGATTCTGGAAGAAAAGCATGCCATATGAAGCAGAGCCTAGCAACTCTTTTTTACTAGGCCCTAACAGAGATGGAGTCCTTTACCATGGAATATGAACCTACCATGCCCCCCAAAAGCCTACTGTGGCAAAGACCCCTCTTTCCATTCCGGGAATTGTGCACTCAAAGGCATATCTGAGGAGAATCAGAGAGCATGAGGAAAGGGAATGAGCAAGTGGCCCGGAGGCTAGTCATTGCCCAGTAGGACATCATCAGCTCTCCTTCCTCTGCTTCTACACAGTCATGGACGGGGACGGCAGCCTCTGCCATCTGACAGGGAGGAGAATCTCAGAGCTCAGTTTGCA